AGCACCTTGTTTCAGCTTTTTAAAAGTTTTTCATGTTTTTTTTGTATTTCCATGTCAAGTTAAGGTATAATATATGTCTGTGCTCGACCGAAACTAGCACTGAGATAGAATATGATATAAACGACCTGTTTACTTAAAAAATAATCAAAAATATGTTACAACTCCAATAAAATATTCTTTATTTTGACTACCAAATATAAAACAAAAATTCTATTAAATAATCATTTTATTGGATTTTTTTTTTTTTTGGCTTCATAAAACTAATTTTATTTTATCTAATTTTGATTAACGTGATGTTTACAAAATATAGATGTATCTTAAAAACAGACAAAAGCTGTTAGCTAACAAACTTTGTTCTTGATTAAAAATTGATATTTTTAAATGTATCCCAAAATGCATCTTGTTTTTTCCTGGAAAAACATTTCCTCCACATTCATTGAATAAGATTGTGTTAATAGTCCTTATGGTTTGAACAATTTGAATTGCAATAATACATTTTGATATGTATCACTTTGTTTGCCTATTGTCTCACAAAACTAAAGAAGTGTCATATTTTTCTAACAGTTTATTGGACACCAGTGTTTTGTTTCCTTTTCTTCAACTTTTTTGCCACACTGGGAAACTTAGCAACAGTTTTTATCCAATGGGTAAAGTTGTTTGTTTAATTGTGTTTGCTAACAGATAATTAACTTTTGTGTGATAACTATTTAAAAGAATAATTAGATGTTTTTCTTATTTGATGTTAGTGAAGCCAGTTACGATTTCCTTTTATTTCAAACTTCCATTTCTTAAAGTAGAAAATTATGCATATGAATTTTCATTAATTGTCTTACAGCCTAATTCAAGGTGGATTAATGTTTTGGTCATACTTCGGATCATCTTTATCCCCCTGATGATACTAGCCAACTTTCGTCCAACACAAAGAAGTTTGCCTGTGTTAATTACAATTGATGAAATCTACATCGTTTCATCTGCTTTATTTTCATTTTCCAGTGGCTATTGTAGCAGTTTAACTATGATGTATGCTCCAAGGTTAGTTGTTATTTTAACTTTGTATGTTTCAAGCTGAGATGCTGTATACATCCACTACACATGCATATTTGAATGGTTCAAAGAAAAGTCATGTGACTTATTGTTGGTGTAGAAAGAAACAAAAGACTATTTCAGATCTGTTAATAAATACTTGTACATTCATGTAATTAATGGATACATTCATACATATATTTTTAGAATGTAGATACTAATTTAGCACAGTATGTGAAAGCTGTGAGATGTGTCGCAGAGAGGCTTAAAACCACTTGGCTACCTATCATGGGGCTTGAGTTCAACACCCTCTACCCAGTGGTCCACAAAAGAGATTGGACCATAGCGTTATGAGTATGCTATAAGCATGAAAGTTGCACTAAATAATAGCTATTTTTAAAAAATCACATGCTTTCTATTCTTAGATCAATAATTTTTCAATCATCTATTTTATTTCTTTGAATGTCTAGGATAATATTTTATAGCATCATAAATAGAATTTTCTTGAATGTAGGTTAAATTCTTCAAAGTACATCTAACTTTTGGTAATTCAAAAGTTTTTTGGTAATCTGACACCTTCTCTGTGCTGTAGCAGTTGGACTATTAATAGTCAACTCTAATGTAGATTAGAAAGCAAAATAGATTTTAATTAATTTAATTTCAAATTCTCCCATTTTTTGGTAATAAATACATTTCTAAATAATTTTAATGCAAAGAACTAAGAATTTAAAATTGTATCTATTTTATAGTATTTCATGTGAGTTACTAAGTTAGCAAATGTTGGAATTTGTTTTTGAAAGTATTGTAAAAGTTTAATGGTGACATAATAGCAGAACTGGACAACAAAGTAAAATCTCATTTAAAAGAATCTTTGATCAGGACTACACTAGAAACTTCATTATTTAAAAACTAGGATGGTTTGTTCATGCTCATGAAGCCATCAAGGAACTGACTTGCTGAATACTCTTTACAATTGAATATGTTAAGAGTTATTATAATATAAAACTAAATAAATATAATGATAGATATTTTTTAAATATTTGGGAAAGTATAGAGATTCATTTTAGTGGAGAATTAGAATTGTCCACTATAACAAATCTCTATATTTTCCCAAATATTTAAAAATATCAATCATATTTATTTAGTTTTATATGTAAAGGTAGTTAATCTTTTATGTAAAAAAAAATTATTATATTAAATCAATGAACCAATTTGCCTTTTCTTCTGAGCATATAAAGCAGATGGTATTTTTATCCATGATGAATTTTAATTAGTCTTCTTGTCTCCTCTCCCAGCTGTGTTGCTCCCAGTGATGCTCCCATAGCTGGCATGATCATGGCTCTTTCTCTGGCATTTGGCATTTTGATTGGAATTAACTGTTCAAGAATTTGGGGGTTCCTGGTATGAGAACAGAGCAAAGGAAACTTCTAGGAATAGAATTATAATATAATGAAACTTACTTTGGAAAAAATATAATTTTTCAATCAAATTTATTTTTATATTTTAAGCATTTAAATCTGTTTATCCAGTCAGAGTTTTTAGGTGAAAATTTTATCTCTTCACATTATGTTAAGTTCATCAAAATATGTTTTACAAGAAACATTGATCATGTCTAGTGATAAAAGACATTGATAATAAATTAATACAATAGCTTTTATATATATATAATAAATATATATATATATAATTATTTGATATGATAGATTGACATTGTCTTCAAACTTCCTAGATATTTGATATTTGTCTAGGTGACAGGAACAAAGATAACCTAAATATTTTGTACATGTAATTGTAGTCAAATAGAGACATCAGTGCATTGCTAAGCATTACATTTTTGCAGATGATATTTGAGCATAGGAACTTGTGATTGCTTGGACTTTGTGTATGTACATGATAGGATTCATCCACTCTATAGTGTCACCTGCTAAAGTTCAATGAATAATAATTACTAATTTCAAAATGGCAAGTTAAATGTTTTAATTTTAAAAAATGGACATTGTAAAATGTCAATAAACAAATATTATGTAATGTTTTCCCTCAAAGTTTTATTGAAAGGCAGTCAAATAGATGTTTCAATATTAATTCTAGTTAAAAAATAAATGTAAACAAAATATTGGCCTAAAAACTGTTTCAGTGTGCCTTACTTTTGGTTAAGGTCATAGTAAGTAAAGTCTAGGCCTCCTGAGAATTTCCTATTATATTTGAAGAATCATTCATGTTTTGGTAGGCAAATGTTTACTAGATATGTGGGCCAGCCAAAAAAAAATATGCCTTTACTTTGCCCACATAGATATAACAATTAACCATATTCAGGATTTGAATATTTGGTTTGGCAAACACTGCATTTGAATGTTCACACCAACCTGATGTACAGTCATTGAGGATAAACTATGTAATGATCATCATGTAAGTAATCCCATCCAACTCCAACAAGGCATGATCCTCCTCCTCTTTCCCCCTTGCTTCCAAACAATGTATTTTCCATGTCACTTCATTTTGTTTTTCATTGATATCATGTACATACTATATTTATGTAGGGGCTCATTATTTGTCAATGAAGGCATTAAACTAAAATGGACTTGAACAATATCCCTCATTGTCATAACTGCCTAACCTAATGGCGGACACAAAACATGATATTCTTTACTGAACTGTGACTCAAACTATTACTGGAGTTGATTTAAAGAAAGATATATTGTTTGAAATGTCTGCTTTATGTTTTGAGTTCAGTCCAATGAACTCTGTTGTAGCACCATTATACAAGAAGTATTCTCAGGGATGTTACACACTGTATTCTTCTCATTACTTTGGAATGAGGGAAATTTCAACTATTCATGAGGGAAATTACGAAAATAAAATACTTAAATAATAAGTATGGTTATGTACATTTAAATTTGTAAACATAAAATAGAGATTTCAAATTGTATATTTATTCTGATGATAATATGCTGAGAGCTATCCCTCCTTACTAGTTGACTGTACATGTATTAACCAAGTGACCTTTTACCTTGTGTTCAAATCACAAAATATTTTCTCTGATATTGTTGCATTATTTTCTTCTTCAGTGAAGACATTAGTTGCATTTATCAATTATAAGAGTTTGAATTTATTTATATACACCTTTTTTTTTTTAAGATTTTAATTTATATAGGTCCTTATTTTACACTTCCCAAACACCACCTTTTTGACATTTTGGTTTCAACCCACTTGCAACTGTTTGATTGCTATGTTGTTTTTTTTAAGTTGTCATTCTAATTTTTTCTGAAATATTTTGCCAAGAGCCACTGTGTATGTTTGAGTGTTTAGTTATTTTCAGTTTTTATAAGTTGCTTGTTTCTATTGAATCTTTTAAAATTTTCATTGACATTTTAAATGTAAAATTTTTTTCTAAACTTAAACTTAGTGCAATTGAACATTCTAAACAAAAATGAAATACTAAAATAATTTAAATTAATGTACACTAAATTAATGTACTCACAAACAGAATCTCAATGTAGCACTTTGAAAGAACAACAACATGAATACATTGAATGTGCCTCACTGCTTTCAGATATATTGCTACAAATAAAATGAAGAGTGAACATGTTCTTGTTATTTTCTCATGACACCATGGACAACAGTTTTTATAATCTTTGAAGTTTCAGACTTGCCCTTGTGTTGACAATTTCTGTTTAGTGGATTATCTACTTGTTTCTTCAGTTTTTGCTTTTATTTTCTTACACATTCTGATAAAATCTGGCCATGACAACATGGCTGTCTTGTGATTTGATTTTGTGATGACTGCACTCTACTTTCTATTTGGTGCCATATGGAGCTTATAAAAATGTACATAGCAGATGTTTTTTTTTAAACATTTGTTTGTTAGTATTTCGCTGTTGTTTCATTATGAGTAAAGTGTGGCAAGAGTTTGTTTTCCCACTTGTTGGCAGGTAGTGGAGCAAAGGGCTGATAATTTTGCAGATACATTGATGCCTCAGCAAAAAAAAAAAAAAAGAACAATTGAACAACCTGGATGACAAATTGAATATTGAAATACTTTAACAAGAAACATTCTCTACATTCAATTCGTTGTATGTATGTGTGTATTTGTAGTTAACTGTGTTGCAAAATATGTCTGAAACAATACAACAAAATGATTGAATGTATGTTTTAATACTTGGCAATCATTCCAGTTGCTTATTTCCTGCTTTGCTTTATTTTGTCCTTGTGTTTTATCAGCTATTTTGTCTTTTTTTTTTGCATTAAAATTGAAATGTTTAGTCTTGAAGCTTGTAGGATTTTGTTTTATTCCAGAAAAGTCATGGGCATATGACTAATTCAGTAAGTGCTAGAGACATTGAGCTAAGACCACATTTTATTATCATTATTGTTGTTTTCTAGTGTCTGTAATAAATATTTTTTTTTACAATCTTGTTTGATTTTTATTTTCACTTATGTTCTGCTTGTAGTTTGAAATCTTGACCTTAGCAATTGGATGCTTCTTTACAAGTATTGGATATCTCAATAAAATTGTCAAGCAGGCCGCATAATGGCTTTCATTAAATCTCATATATTTCAATCATTTCATAAGTCTCAGGTGTTGCTTATCTCCTAAAGCAAAAAGAAATGGTCAGTTGAAGGTTAGAGTTCAAAGTAGCTTAAAAAAACAAAAACTTATCATGCCATTTTCTATCTGCTACATAGCATGAACTCCCTAAGAAACATTTGTGTTCTTTTGCAAACAATTTTTGTTCCATTTAATTAGTTCTGAAATCCATTCCTCAGTTCTTTAGACATCCATTGATCAGTTTTTTAGACATTAATTTCTATACACTTTTCGTTTAACCATATTGGATGATAATATTCTTTAGTTGAATTCTGTTAACAATCAAGGCCAGACTTAGTGCATTAGTGGAGGGATGACAAACATCCCCACCCCCCTTTTTTTCTGTTATGGTGCACTCACTTCTAGGACAGCATTTCTCGAACTTATTTGTGGGGGGGGGGGGGGGAGTGCTGCTCAATTAACTTATCGAGTCTTAATATTGATATGTTTTGAAAATAATGTTCAGACATTTTGAAACGTTTGAATTTCACTCAACTCTAGTAGGCTGCACTGTTGTATTGACGACTTTAATGCAGCTTTATAAAAGACCTCGACAATACGTCTTACGACGATCACACCCATTACAGACCTACGTGCGCTATTTTCAAAGGTCTCTTGATTAAAATCAGTGGGCAGTGCTGCTGCGACTTCTTTGACCTGTGTATTTCTTTGTCTCACCACTTTATATACTATTCTGAAGAACTCTTCTTACTAGGAGAAAAAGTTCGACGTATCTCTACGCTATCCAGACTCCTTACTGTCTCAGCCTCTCCAATACTATCTCTAAAATTATTGTTTTTCCACTGAACAATTTTAAATTATCAACAAATCATTTTCCTATTTTAAAAAGTCTATTGGACTAGCTTTAATGAAACATTTATTAAGTACATTTGGAATTCAGTATATTATAATTACATATGGCAAGAAAAACTGGAACATTTTGTTACTTGTCTAAGTTTTTGTTTTCCTTATATCCTTAAAATCTTCTCGGACTTTACTGTGGGATCTAACATCTCGCCCCTAGACCTCAGCTGGCTAAATGTGGAACAAATGAAGTTTTCTTTGTTTGGAGGGATGCCAGTGGTGAAAGTTTGAGAAACACTCGTCTAATACCGGTGCTTCAGATTCGACATAAGAAAAAAATGTATTCCATCAGACCTAACCAGTAAGAATAAGAAAATCTATTTCAATAACATCAGTCAACAATACTAAGCTTATCAGTTGTTAGCCCTAGTCAAAGTACCGTCAGTAAAACTGTCAACACAAGCTAAGTTTTATGTTACTAATCTTATCAAATGGTAAGAAATAGGTTAATGTTGTTTTTCGAAGTAACTTTTATGAACATATTACTTGGCACTCCTGGCAGTACACCACCCATCAGTCTGACCAATAACACACACACAATTTTTCCTGAAGCTATAACAGGTCGCCTGTTCATATTATTTATTTATTTTATTTTTTTTGGAGTTGAAGAAATAAGTGGTGGCGATATCAATGGCGCGTGTGTTCTATCTATAAAATCTTTTATGACTGATAAATCAAGCCGAAACTTGTACTATTGATGCGGCCAAATCTTTCAAGAAACATCAAAGATGGCTGCCTAATCATAAGATATGCGTTTCGGAGTGTAGTCTCAAATTTGATCCTATTCCATCCTTTGCAGTTCTAGCATGTAACAATCTTCATTTCTGAAAAAAATGTTAGGCCTACATCAAAATATGAATGTATGTGTAGATTTGTCAATTTTCTTACTAGCATCTTTTAGTAAACTTAATGAAACAGACAAGGTACACAAAAGTAAAAAGGCGAAGTGAAGTCAAGACCGAGACTAAAATTGTAGGCTAATTCCACACCTTGGACTTTGATCATTACGTCTTGCGCAGGATAATATTATAATATTACATCCCGTACATCTAATAGAAGCGCTATAGCTAAGTACACACCCAGATTTACAATATAATATAAGATTTCTCACTAAGAATACAAAGTGGAAGAGGAAACACTATAAACGCATTAATAACATGTCATAAAATGTCAAAAAGCATTCATCATCATATTTATATATAAAATATTTACAGCATCATATTTATATATAAAATATTTAATTGGGGATGAAGTGACCGGTAACCCCGCCAAGCACTATTTCCGGTATTGAAAGCCTGAAAAAAATTGAGGTATCTATAGTGCATTATTCTGCTATTAAAAAGTTTTATTTCAAAACCTGTGCTATTGTTACTGATTTAGATCCTCCAACGCCGTTCGGCTCAGTGGGCGGCAAGCTGTTTCCACAAAAATCTGTCATTGGCAATGTCTGAAGCCTCTTCCCACCTGCTCTGAGGACCTCTATGAAAGTGTGGCGTGAAGTTGTACTAGGATGTTCCTGTTTGCGATTTCCTCGTAATGGCCTCCATGTTATTGCAACTTTTATTATGCGTAATTCATTTTGTCGGAATACATGTCCCGCAAACCTCATGCGACGCCTTACCAAGGGGTCGATTCCCTGTTTGGCATAGGATTTCCTTGATTGAGACCCAATCACTATAACTGACTCCTCTTAGCCATCTTTGTTGAGCCACATTTAGTCTTTTTTCAATTTCGGCAGATGACTATCCACTGCACTTTATTAATGGAGTCCAGCCACTGTTAGAAATTTTGTAACCTCTCTTGGCTACGCTCTTGGAATTAGTTGAGTGTGGTTTGCTTTAGATTTTATACAGAAAAGGGAAGTTTTATCGTCAAAATCATCTGTTGTGAGGTTTTAAACTAAAAAATCTCTGGAGTTGTTTTTTTTTAACAAATTCCAAACCCCATTTAGCTACGCTCATAAAATTTTGGTGAGTGTAGTTTGCTTTAGAATAATATTGAAGAATGAGTTTTCAACCTCAAAACTCTCTGTAGGGGAAAACTCAAAAACATCTCGAGTGGTTTTAAACTAAAAAAAAAAAGCCATCTGGAGGAGGGGTTTAAACTTGGCTAAGCTCAAAGAATTTTAGTGTGTAATTTACATTTTTTTTTATTGAAGAGGTATTTTTTAGCATCAAACCCCGATGAAGTGGGTTTAAACTCAAAATCCTCTTTGGCTACGCTCGTAGCATTTTCGGTGTGTAATTTGCTTTTTTTTTATTATATAGTCTTTTTTTTCGCTTCAAACCCCGCTGAAGAGGGGTTTAAACTTAAAACCCCTTTGGTTACTCTCAAAGATTTTTGAGTGTGCCATTTGCTTTTTTTTTATATTGAAGAGGTATTTTTTTTAGCTTCAAACCCCACTTAAAAAGGGGGGGGGGGGTAAACTCAAAACTCACTTTGGCTACACTCATAGAATTTGGACTGTGTAATTTGCTTTTTTTTTATATTGAAGAGGTATTTTTTAGCTTTAAACCCCGCTGAAGGGGGTTTTAAACTCAAAACCCCTTTGGCTACGCTCATAGCATTTTCAGTGTGTAATTTGCTTTTTTATATTGAAGAGGAGGTTTTATAGTAAATTTTGGAGGGGTTTTAAAATCAAAATCTTCCGTAGCTATGCTCTTGGAATTTGGGGATTGTCGTTCTCATTATTTTTTGTTTGTTTTGTTTTATAGAAGATTTAAATTTAACTGCAAAGCCCCCTGGTAGGGGTTTTAAACTCAAAACCCTCTTGGTTGCGCTGGGGCAAGTGATGGTTTAGTATTAAAATCTCACCTAAAATAAACAAAATCAAAACAAAAAATCAGTCACTTAAGTCCGTCTCCCCCCCCCCCCCCCAACATCTTCCCCTGGCTACGCCCATGACCTCCATACAAAACATAGGTTCAAATAACACTAGGATGGCTGCCTGGTCGTGCGGTTTGCACGCTGGACTGTCGTTCGGACTTATCGATGGTCCCGGGTTCAAACCCTGCCCGCTCCCATCCCCCGTCGTCCTGCGGGAGGTTTGGACTAGGAAGTAATTATCTTCAACTCTGAAGGAACATCCGAAATAAGTAAAACATATTACAAACAAACTAGTGACTAATACATCTACTTTGAAACAAATGGTGCGCAGCCAATAATAATGCTTTATAGAAGTAGGGCGTTGGATTTAATATGTCAAGTTTCTACATTTACCTGTTGATATTGTACACACTTAGACCTTGACCTACATGCATTGATATAATCATGTGATGTCTAAAAGGAAACACAAGAAAATTAAAACTAAATAGGGCCTACCCAGGTAAAAGTGAAATGTTTTAAAGTTGACAACTTCAGTGGATATCATTGACATAGTTAAACTGCTTTGAATCCACGTGTACCACATACATTATTAGACCTTAGTAATTGAACTTAAAAGTACTGTCTCCGTCTTTCTGTCACATACTCTCTCTCTCTTTCTCTTTCTCTTCTCTCTCTCACTCTCTTTGTGTAAATAAGACTTTTGCTTATCTCTTATTTCTCACGCAGGCTCATATAATCTACATATCAGGCCTACTACACGCCTTAGTGTTATGACTAGATTTACTACATCTATCAGTAGTTAGTCTGTCCTGGATGTACATGCAGTCGTCTCATGAAAAAAGCCTATTCTGTTTCATTATAATGTTGACATAACTTAAATATTCGACGTCAACACATTTGGACTGTTTTTAAAATGTAGGTATGAACACGCTGTCAAAATATTTTAATGTTTATTTTATGAATCCTAATTGATTTGAACAACTAGAGTCTAGATGAGACTGACGTAGTGTTTTTAAAAAGTGACCAAGTTCCCGAAAATAGATTTAGTAGTAAGTCAAAAAGTGAAAATAATGTTGTTTAAATTGAAACCTTATCTAGAAACATATATTATAATAAAATCAGAAAGAAGGGTT